CCCCCGCTCCCCCCCTGCCCAAAGCCTCGGGGGACAGCTAAAGTAGGAGCCGGGAGGGGACCTCGTGCACCATTCACTCGCCTCTCTCAGCCTTTAAGCCACTTTGTGACCACAGCACAATTAGATTACTTAATGCTTTAATTGACTTATAATGGCATTTGTACTTCCACTTTGGATATCAAACTTACACAAGAGGATTTAAATGGCGGCTTTGCGTGGCTTTATCCGGCATCCTCCCTGCATTTACTGGCCATTATTAAAGTGCTCCCGATAGATAAACATTCAGACAGAGACAGCCACGACAGCCTGCGGGAAAGGGCCCTTTTTAATGAACACAAAGGAGAACGCTGCCCAATAAACCTGCGCTCCTGCAGCAGATCTCCCCCAAGCCGTACGCGGGGTCTGGCTGGGCAGAGAAGGGCAGAGGGGGCCCTTCCTTGCCTGCGAGCAAAAGGCGTTGAGAAGCTATTAAAGGGAAAAACGGGGGTTTGGACGACTCCATGAGGAATAAGGCATTTCAAAAAAATTTTTTTTTTGAAGGAAGGGACTAAAGCACCAGGAGTTTCCACCCTTGCTCAGACCACCGTGCAGCGGTGCACGGTGTGCTGCAGGCGCAGACCACAGCTGCTTCTGCCCCCCCCAAAAAATACAGTCTGCAAATGTCCGGGGCTCGGGGGAGGAGGAGAGGGGTTTGGGAGGTGCCTGGGAGGCGGCCGATGGCTCCAGCAGCCGTCACGGCACGGGGCTCGGTGTGGAGCAGCACGGCAGGAACAAGGTGCCACCACCACAACCGGCAAATCCCGGTGGCGTTTCCAGGGTGTTTCTTCTGAAGCCAGGGAGCAGCTGCCCTCGACGGCGGCACGGACACCCTCACCCATCCCTCCTGGAGAAGGGAGGACCTGGCAGTCCAGAGCTCCAGCAACTCTACGTCTGTCTTCTCCTGTGATACAGCAGCTTGATTCCCGAGGACAACGCACCCCGAGGACAGACACAAATCCCGCACGACAACGGCCATTTCTCCGAGGAGCACCCAGCTTTTCCCCGTAGCAGGGATCAATACCAGCGCCTGAAGCCCGCTGCTCTGACGCCAGCTAAAAACTGGTGTCTACAAATAAGCACGGTGATGGGAATTGCTTTTCTAAGAGCCTGCGAGAGGGTGGCCAGCGCCGCGGTGTGCAGCTGGAAGCCCACCATCATGGCGCGGGCCGGGGCTGCTCCTCCAGCCCCGTCCCCGAGCACCGGGTCCCGTGGAAAACAGCAAAGCCGCTGCGAGAAAAGGGGCAGGGGGGATGCACGGGCACGGGTTTGCACAAGCGCTGCTGCCACCAAAGCAAACCCGAGCGCGAAAGGACCGAGAAGCGAACCCGCCTCCATCCGACCCCTTTAAAGACGAGATGCATTTGGGAGAAGAAAAGCCAAAACCCCGGGAAAGCCCGGTCGCACCCTGGAAAACCAGGCGGAGGGGGAGGGCCGGCGGGCAGGGAGAAGTTGTCAGGGGTTTGAAATGGGACGTGAATGAGGCGGCGGAGCGGGACAGATGTTTCAATGCTCCCCTTGGCAGTGTGAGAAAATTACTGTCCAGTGACCAAATGGCCGGGCCAGTTCCCACCCTCGCTGCTGCCCATTATCCCCAGCACAAGACAAAGGCGGGCAGGGGGGGCTGGGCAGGGGAGAATCCTATTGTTCCCGCCCGCCCTAATTATGGAAATCTTGTTAATCTATTCAGCAGCGACTCTGAACTGGGCTTTTGTTCGGGGGCTTTTTAGCGGGGCGCACCGCCGAGGGTTGGGAAAAGCTCTCGCCGGGGGATTTCAGGCGCAGCCATGAGGCTGCGGGGACACAGGGCTGCCCCGAGCAGCATCCCGGCGCAGGCCGTCTTTGTTGGAGCACAAATATCTCATCCACAGCCCTTGTACGCAGAGCATGCCACGTATGCATGCATGCACACACGCGTATTTTTATATGCTCATGTCCCAGCCACGTGTACATGCACCCATCACTAATGCTGGTGCATAAAAACTCACGGCAAAACCTACGCAGGCGAATACAGAGATGACCCGCAGGCAGCATATGCTGATGGCTGCAGCAATCCAGCATCCCTAGGGGGATCAGGAGAGGGTTGGAATGGATTTGGAGGGCAAAGAAGGAGAGGGAGCGCGCAAGAGCAAACACGCTCAAGCTGAGGACGCACTAAAGCCAGGGTTTAAATCCAGCCGAGCACCCAGGACCCCGCAGGAGATCACCCCAGATGCAGCACACTGGAGCACACCAGCAATCCGCAGCCCCGCAGTGCAAGCACTGGATGTGTCTCGATGTCCCCTTCGACAGCCCTTGCTGCTCTGCAGAAGCATCCCAGCCCTTGGGAGGGAGCAGACGCTGCCGCCCTTCGGCTCCCGGTGCAGGAACGAGCTGATGAGCCGCCTCTGCGATGCTTTGCTTGTACCGCTGCTGTCTTGCTGGTTTAAATGCTGACGGCTCCTTTTTCTGCAGAGCTGCCAGCTTGGAGGATTTATGCTGTTTTCAAAAGACGTTGAGCAGTTTCATTATCCCTGCAATTACCTGCAAGAGCGTTGGCCTGATGCGATCGGCTTCCCGGGCAGGGAGAGCCCGTCCTGGTTCCAGGGGCTGCTCAAGTTCCCAGGTTTTTAATTCTCTGACATGCAAACTTTGGGCCCAGAGGGAGCAAACCTGGATGCTGGGAGTCCCGTTTCACAGCCCAGCCTTCACCGAGACTTCTCATATCAGGGATGTTGTGCGTGATGGATCTTCTGTGCTACCAGCACCCGAAGGTGGGTCCAGACAAGGACCTGGACCAAGCACCCACAGCACGAATGCAGCCTCACATCAATGCAACTCCTGCGCCAAAGCTTTGCTGCTGCAGCCGGATTCACAGAACTGAGAGGTGTCTGCATCCGTGCAGAGATGCTCCAGCTCCTGCCGCAGTCACAGCAATGTCTTCAAGGCTAAAGGCAAGCTAGGAAAAAAATGCAGGAGGAGAAAAGAGACTTTCCCAAGTCTGCCCCGTGAACGGGAGGCAGGGGAATGACTTTTTCTTCTTTTAAATAAGACATTTCTTGATGATCTTTTTGGCTTCTGCTGCCGGGAGCTCATCCTGGGCTGGGGTTTGTCCCTGTCTCCTAAGAGCGGCATAGGCAAAGTGCAACAGCAAGTCAAATCACAGCTATAAATGAGAGTTATAACCCATGCAGATACTTCATTTACACTCACTGTGGACAAAGGGTTGTGGCAATATTTCTGAAATGTTTTAGCATTAATCCTGTAGGTTATAGCAACATTTCTACACGTTGATACACACATTTAAGCTAGATACCGGTCATCTCTAGTAAATCCCTACATGGCGGGTCCAGAATAGGCAAGACAGCCCAGCAGCGATTTACACCGGTGGCAGAGCTGGTCCCAAAGCCAGGACCAGGGCAAGGAGAGCCCAAAGCCACACTTGGACGGGATATAACCCAAGTGCAATACCTGGCAGCATTTGCAAAGGGTAAGGCGTTTAAATCCCCCAGCCCTCCCCTGCGGACCGAGGACGGGCAGCCAATTTCTTGGCAAGCTGCTGGAGCACAAACATCAAGTTTTCCAAGGCAAATTTGGGCTGTTCAGCAAATCCATCGGGGAGCTACATTTCTTTGTCCGCCACATTCCCAGTCCCCTCCTAACCACTGCCGACAAAGCGAAGGATGGTATTGCAATCAGAGCAGGGTCAATGTACATATGTTAAAAGGATTTAGGCTAACTCCCACCGTGCCCTCTCCCCACCCCCAGGAGAAACAACCCCCACCCCAGCCGGCGCGAGCCGAAGGCTCCAGCGTCCGCTCTGTCCACTCATATATCAAGTGCAGAGCAGCTGGACACCAGCACGAACCGGGAGTGACCAACGGGCCATCGCCCATCTGTGCTGCTCCAGCACCCGTCCGGCAAATGAAAAATTAATATGGATCCGCTCAGCCTGGCAGCAGCTGAGCATCACCCATCTGTCACGGCGAGAGGAGAAACTCTCAGCTAAATGTCACCTGGAGGAAACTGTACATGGCAGTGGCCCCGGGAATCCCCAGATCGAGGGGTTATGGCAATAAAATCCAGATATTGTTAATAACGAGCTGATGCAATTAGTGGATTTGAGGAATCTTGCTCCACCTTTCCATATAAGATGGATGGGAGAAAAAGAAGCAATAAAAGGGACCTTAAAAAAAAGTAAAAAAAATACCAAAACCAGCCTCTTTCTTGCTATTTATATTTTTCTTAACATCACTTGTCTCCAGGTCTCGTGGACCACTCGGGCCTGCTGAGATCTGGGCTTCAGCCTTGCACCCACCCCCAGGAACACGGGACAAAACTGCTGAACTATTTGTTTGGGCCTAGAAACCACTGAAAGGTGGGACTGCCCCAACCCTCCCTGCTCCTGCCACACCACCAGCACGCTCCCTCCAGTGCTTCGAAGAGGAACATTAATCACGAAAGATTAATTATCGCATTAATCCATCACCGTCTCGCCCACTCCCTGCCACGGGTGTGCTTTAGCGCGTGCAAAACGCAGCTCCCTCCAACAGCATTCCCACGCCCGGCCACGCCGTCGCCTTCTCCTCCAGCAGACGCTCTCCTGCCCTGGCCAACCTCGTCTGCTGTGGGACGTTCCTTGGGGGCGACATTCCAGCTGCGGTCTCCACCAGACCGCTGCTTGAAGGACGGTTCTCAGGTAGGAAGGAGGTTTTTAGCAAGAGCATCACTGAGCGTTCAGGTCATCGAAGTCCACCGTCCCTCAAGGTCAACTCAGGGCAGAGGCTCAAGGTGCAGGAGAAACCGCAGCGTGCCCCAGAGAAAGGTGCCACGGCCCATGGGTGCTGCTCAGATCCCTGTCG